ATCCCGGCAGACATTTGTCTCCTGGCTGATTTACAAGGTTGTCTACGGATCTTTCTTTTTTTTCCCTTGATGGGGAGAAGTTTGATTCCATACTGCCTGCTTCATCCTCACACATCCCAGAGCAATTTCCAACTGGCAACCCTTCTGGATCATGTCCCGGCCTCATTTGCTGTAGTAGAATGCGCGGAATGCTAAAATCGTAAAGGGATGTCAGTGACATTGAACCCATCGGCCCAGTCCCATGTACGCTGTCATGAAGCCGTGCCCAGGCCCTCCGTGGAACTACCTGAGCAGAGGTTTTGACATCTTTCCCAGCCCTGCTGAAGGATGGAGTCTTGGCCACAGAGACCGAGGACGTACTGACGGGGCTCAAAACTAGCAGCTGCTCTTGCTATCTAGGTAGCTCCAGGAGGACTGCAATTTGCAAAAAATGGGCAAAATACGCATTCCATGGCTATGGAGAACATCATCTAGCCAGGTCTACCCAACCACAGTAATTTTGCTGCTGCAAGCAAAATACTTTCTGGGGTAGGTTTGAATTGACAGATTACTGAGGCAAATTTTTGTCTCGCCCACACTCTCAGATTATTCAGCCTGTCTGTGATACTGTGCCTGGCCTTCCACGCAGATTGCACGGTAGAGATCTGGCACCCTAAACTGAATCCTCTCTGCTGACAGCTGAAAGTTAACGGCATCTGTGGCAATCAGCTGGGGTGTCTCAGGTTGGTTCCAGATGTCAAGTTGATTAATGTTGGAGTTGGGGCTGCCAGCAGCCAGGTCCTGGGAGTGCACAGATCCCCAGGAAACAACCCTGGTGGTTGCGGCATCGGTGGGTAGGGACCACGCACAGATCCTGAGCAGGCGCCAGCCCTGCTGTATCCGTTTGGCACAAGGAGCAGCAAATCCTCCAGGATGAAAACCTCTGAACGTGGAACTTTCCAGCCAGTTTCCACATTTGCTGACCCAGGGACTTGTGTTTATAAATTGACATCAATGAGTCTACACTAAGAAGTTCAACAAGGAAGACACCAGTAGGAAAAGCCCCAGTACCAAGTTAGGGTTGATTTGGTTGGGATTGGAAAAAGCAAAGAGATCAGAAAGTCCACATTTCTACAACACTTGTGATTTTCCAAGGTGATTTGTATGTTTTTAAAATATTTATTTATTTTTGAAAGAATTACAGAGAGAGGGAGAGACACACACACAGAGAGGAGAGAGAGAGAGAGGTCTTTCATCTGCTGATTCACTCCCCAAATGGCCACAATGGCTAGGGTTGGACCAGGCTGAAGCCATGAGCTTCATCTGGGTCTCCCATATGGGTGCAGGAGCCCAGTGATTTGGGCCATCTTCTGCTGCTTTCCCAGGCACCATTAGCAGGGAGCTGGATCAGAGGTGGAGCAGCCTGGACTTGAACTAGGGCCCATATGAGATACCAGTGTCACAGACAGAGCCTTAACCTTTTATGTCAAAACACTGGCCCCATCCAAGGCATTTTGTACATCTTTCTTTTTTATAGATATGAGATATAGGGTCTTTTTTTTTTTTAAAAAAAAGATTATTTATTTATTTAAAAGGCAGAGTTAGAGAGAGAGAGAGAGAGAGAGAGAGAGATCTTCCATCTGCTGGTTCACTCCCCACATGCCCCCAGTGACTGTTCCACAGCACCCTGTGGCTAAGGTGCCAATGTCATTTCCCACCTCCATGGGGGCATTGTGAGAGGGATAAAAGTGCTATTGATGGCCAGGTTATTTGGTGGCAGAAGCACGGACTCATCACGTCTTCGATCAGTGTTTCTCCAAGTGTCATTCCCAGACAAGCCGTGTTGGCATCCCCCAAACCTACTGGGTTGGCATGGCTGGGGATAGAGCCATCAGTCTCTTCTGACGAGGCATTCAGGTAACTCCAGTGCATGCTAAATGTGAGAAACCCTGGCCTAGGCCAGTGCTTCCCAGTCTGGGATATTTAGACTCCAGGGCCCAGTGGATTTAGTGATGAAGCCCCATAAAATTTCATAAAACTTAGTAGCAACCCTGTTCCTAGTATCACTTTAAAAATTATTTATTGTGGGGCTGGCACTGTGGCGTAGTGGGTAAAGCCACTGCCTGCAGTGCCGGCATTCCCTATGGGTGCCGGTTTGAGTCCAGGCTGCTCCACTTCCAATCCAGCTCTCTGCTATGGCCTGGAAAAGCAGTTTAGAAGATGCCCCAAGTCCTTGAGCCCCTGTACCCATATGGGAGACCCAGAAGAAGCTACTGGCTCCTGGCTTCGGATCAGCTCAGCTCCAGCATTTGTGGCCATCTGGGAAGTGACCCAGTAGATGGAAGACCTCTCTCTCTCTCTCTCTCTCTCTGCCTCTGCCTCTCTGTGACTCTGACTTTTGAGTAAAATAAATAAATCTTCAAAAAAATTATATATTGCATTTTATGTGGCTGACACATGAAAATTGAGAAAGGAAACTGATGATTAATGAAAGCTGATTGACATGTTTTCGTTAGTACAGTCACTTGTCTGGTCAGTTGTTGGTTCTAATATGCTCTGTGCTGGATACTGGATGAGACACTCTCTGTTTCTGTGGTAACGATAGCCCTGTAAATATTGCTACAATACCGTACAAAATGTACTGAGAGGCAGACATGAACAGGACTGTGATAGAAACAAATCCAGGATACCTAGGGGACAATTTCCAGGCTGTGCTGTGTTGCTTCAAGGCTTTGAGTTGGGCTTGGCTGGCTGGGATGGGGAGAGGGGCTGGCAGGGGCCAGCCTCGGGTGGTCTTTCCCCACCACACAGCTGAGGACCAGGAGAAACCTGAGCCCACTTTGGGGGTTTGGGTTTGCCCCGTCTTGAGATCTTTGTCCTAGTCAACAGCATTCAGGCTCTGAGAAGCACCGACTGTCGGCCGTTTAGGACAAGACCACAGGGCCTCTGTGTCAGCAAGAAGAGACTTAAAGAAGACCCTCAGCTGCTATGTTTCTCCACCAGCTCGGCGATTGTTTCAGACACGCCTCTGATGAATCGAGGGCATGAAACCAAGCACAGTGTCAGTTTGGAGAACATTTTACTTTTATTCCAGTTCAATTACTTCTGAAAAGGCACAGGTTGAATTTCAGCTCGACTATTTCCCAGATCATTGTCTTTGCGGAAAGCCTGTCATTATGTGGTTTGTAGTTCAGAGACAAGAATATAGTCTCTGGGTTAGTGCTGCCGTTGGATGCTAGTGAGGTTTATCTCTGTCGGGTTCTTGGCTGCGGCGCCCCAAGCTCAGGGACCGATAGGCAGGGCCATCAGTGTGTCTGAGCGTGAGGGCACCACGCGACAGGGCGGGCCCAGGGCAGAGAGGTGCCCACCACGACCCTTCCCGCATGGCGACTGACACTCCAACAGCACCAGCAGTCGCCGTCTTCTGTGGCAGGGTTGGGAGGTGGGGGGCATGCTTCTGGTTCTACATGAGGTGTTAGTGTTTGTGAGGGTGATAACCTTGTCCCATTGAATTATAAAGAGAAAACAACCCAGTTGCCTGCAGAGCCAGAGCCAAGCCTCAGAACTGCTTAACTCATCCGTCAAACAAATTGTGTTTTAGGAAATGCAGGACAGAGAAAAATGCGCAAAAGAAAAGGAGATTTATTTATTTGTACAAAAGTAGACTGACAGGCGTTTGAATGGATCCAAAGAGCGTTTAGGGAGAAAAAAAAAATGTGATTCATGGCCAGCTATTAAATCTTGTTTATCCTTCTTTAAACTAACCAGAAACACATTTTTGGGAAAACGCGAGTTAACAGTGGGAGCTCTGCGCGCCGGCTGCGGTGCTGCGGGGCCGTCCCGCCTCGCAGGGTCGGTCCTCTCCAGGCCTGCTGCCTGCACCCACTCGGCCGGCGGGGAAGGAACTCCTTGCTCTCCTCCAAGGGCAGCCCCACGAAGGGTCAAGTTTTACAAAGCGGTTTCAGGAGAAGGGCCCCGAAGGTTAGAAAACGTCTCCCCAGAGACACCAGCCTGGCTGGGTGGCACGCCCTCCCTGCGGGCACCCGGCCCCAGGGGTCGCCCCTTCCCGGCATTGTTGGCTGAGCCTCCTAAGGCTTAGATTCTTCAGGGTGCTTGACAAGCACCTGAACAATGTGCTGGTATCCTGGTACCCTGTGGAATTAATCCCCCCAGCCCACAGGCGCTGGGACCCCCCTTCCAACCCTGCCCGGCTTCTTCCCAGCGCAGGGCCACTGATCGAGTATCTTTCCCAGCTCTCCCCACCTCCCCCCTACTGCCGTGCCCTCCTTGGTTAAATGCATTAGGATTTAATGGGGGTGGGGGGTGTCAGTGTCCTTAGAATTCGAGGGGAACGTTCCCACCCTGAGCTATAGGAACCCACTTGATTTGAAAACTCCCTGAGGCTACAGTTCCTGAAAGAAGCAGGACAAACCCAGCATCTCTGGAGCAGAGCCTTTAGCTTCTCTCTGTTTTCAAGCAACGAATCCCTGTGAGGACCAGGTAGGCTTGGCCGTCTTGGTGGAGTGGGGACTGTTGGCCTACAGAGGGGACTCTGTGAAGTTTGCGGCTGCAAGGAGAGGCCTGCGTGGCCTCACTAGACCTAAAGTACTGCCCTCGCCTCTCCTGCGCTGCCAGGCTGGCCAAGCAGAGGGAGCGGCACCCCTGTGCACCGTGTCGCAGAGACCGTGCCGGCTCTGTCCTCTAGCTTCCCTCAGAAACCTTCACCTTTGCTCTTTTTCTCACCTGACCTATTTCTGCTACTGCTATCAACTCTCTGGGAACGAGAACAGTGCATTTTCCATTTCCATGTCCCTTCCCTTAGCAGAACACCTGTCACACGAAGGAGGCAAGGACAAATGGTGAGTGAACCAGGGCTTCCTGGGGCCAGCCACAGGCCTTCTTCCCTGCCACCTGGCTGGGTCTATGCAGGCTCAAGATGCAGGGTAATGCACATTTCATGTGTTAAGATACAGATGTTGGCTGGTGCCGCGGCTCAGTAGGCTAATCCTCTGCCTGCGGTGCCGGCACCCCGGGTTCTAGTTCTGGTCGGGGCGCTGGATTCTGTCCCGGTTGCCCCTCTTCCAGGCCAGCTCTCTGCTGTGGCCCGGGAGTGCAGTGGAGGATGGCCCAAGTGCTTGGGCCCTGCACCCTCATGGGAGACCAGGAGGAAGCACCTGGCTCCTGGCTTCAGATCAGCGCAATGCACCGGCCACAGCGGTCATTGGAGGGTGAACCAACGGTAAAGGAAGACCTTTCTCTCTGTCTCTCTCTCTCACTGTCCACTCTGCCTGTCCAAAAAAAAAAAAAAAAAAAGATACAGATGTTGGCCATAATGCCTAGTGTTAGGAAGATTCTTCTTAAAAATACTTATTTATTTTTAAGATTTTTATTTTATTTACTCAAAAGACAGAGTTACAGAGAGAGGTTGAGCTAAATAGATAGAGAGAGAGAGAGAGAGAGAGAGAAGAGAGGTCTTCCATCCACTGGTTCACTCACCCAACAGCTGCAATGGCTGGAGCTGTACCGATCTGAAGCCAGGAACCAGGAGCCAGGAGCTTCTTTCAGGTCTCCCATGTGGGTGCAGGGGCCCAAAGACTTGGGCTCTCTTCTCTTTGTTTTCCCAGGCCATAGCAGAGAGCTGGATTGGAAGTGGAGCTGTCTGGGACGTTAACCTGCTGCACAATAGTGCTGGCCCCATTAAAATTAAATTCTAGTAGCAACATTTCCACTTTAACCAAAACAAGCAAACAAACAAAAAACAGTCTTGTGATGGGACATCCCAAGATACTGCTTGGGATGTCCGTGTCCTGTATTAGAGTGCTTAGACTCGAGTCTCAGTCCCTCTTCCAATTCCATTTGACTGCTAATGTACACCCTGGGAAGCCACAGGTGACAGTCAAGTACTTTCCCTGCCACTTACTGCTCCTGGCTTTGGCCAGGCCCAGCCTTGGCTGTTGTGGACATTTGGGAGTGAGCCAGCGAATGGAAGATCTCTCTTTGTTGCTGTATCTCTTTCACATAAATAAAAACTGTAAAAGAAGTCTTCACCCTCCTCCTGTGGATATTCTCAGCATCTGTGCTTCCAGGGTAAGAATCCCTTAGAGCTATAGCCACAGAACCTAGAGGACTGATTTGGTGGGATGGGCATAAAATAGACCAAGAGGCAGAGGAAGAGAAATAGATGAGAAGAAGGACGTGCTTTCTCTCTGCCTGTTGGGCTGTTTGCAGAAGGCAGGCAGAGAGTGCTAGATGTGTTCAGAAATGCCACAGTGTGCATTCTTCCAGAAGGTGCACGCACAGCCACGCGAGCACCGTCTGTTGTCTTGAGGAAAACCTGGCATGATACTGGGCCTCACAGATTCTTAGCTGGGGACCAGCCTCGCTGTTCTCTGAGTCTCACCACAGAGCACCTGCAAAAGAGAGAAAGGATTCGTCAAATACCTTAGATACAATTGCCAGGCAATACTTAAAAAAAACTTTATCAACTCTTCCCACCTGTTTACCTGACTACCTGACCAGTGTTTCTGGAAAGGACAGCAGTGAGTGGAATGTCACAGATGCATGGATGGCGTGACATGGACAGGGCTGCAGGGACAGAAGAGGTCAGGAGAAGCCCTCTAAGATCTTACTCTGGCTTGGTGCATTGGCCAACTCCCCTTCTATTTCCTCTTCCCGGGGAGCCTGTGGTCCCAGCCATGCTCCTGAAGGTACCAAGGTCTCGTTGTCAAACACAGCACTCTCTAAGCCATGCGCTTCATCTCCAGGAGCCTGGCAACAAGGACAATGCGGTGGCCGTTTCGTCCCACACTCCTGCACAGGTGACCGGAACTTCGGGAAGTTATGTCTATGACCCAGCAGTTCCACTCTAGGTCAACAGAACTGAAAACAGATCTTCACACAGAGCCTTGTATGTGAGTGATAGCAGTAGTACTGATAATATCCAAAAAGTAGAACAAACCTACATGTCAACTGAAGGACAGATGAACAAAATGCAGTGTGTCCATACTTCAGACTCAAGCATTGAAAGAACTGAAGTACTGATTTTTGCTAAAATGTGGGTGGACCTTGAAAACTTGATGTTATTGAAAGGAGCCAGGGCCGGCGCCATGACTCACTAGGCTAATCCTCTGCCTGCGGTGCTGGCACCCCGGGTTCTAGTCCCGGTTGGGGCACTGGTTCTGGTCCCAGTTGCTCCTCTTCCAGTCCAGCTTTCTGCTGTGGCCTGGGAAGGCAGTGGAGGATGGCCCAAGTGCTTGGGCCCTGCACCCCATGGGAGACCAGGAAGAAGCACCTGGCTCCTGGCTTCGGATTGGCACAGTGCGCCAGCCTTAGCGGCCATTTGGGATGTGAACCAACGGAAGGAAGACCTTTCTGTCTCTATCTCTCTCTCTGTCTAACTCTGCCTGTCAAAAAAAAAAAAAAAAAAAGAAAAGAAAGGAGCCAGCTACATTGTGTGATTTCCTTCTCATGAATGTCCATAAAGGCAAATCCAGAGAGACAGAAAGCAGATTAGGGGCTGTTGCTGACTGGGGGAAGGGAGAATGGGGAGTGAGTGCTGATGGGCTTGTGGCTTCTTCCTGGGGTGGTGGAAAGGTTCTGGAATTCCATTGTGGTGATGGTTGCTGCAGCTTTCTTTCCTCCCTGAGCTACCCAGAAACCTTGCTCCCTTGCACAGTCCAGACCTGCTGTGGAGCTGATCCATTGGTTCTTCCATCTATCCTCCCTGTCCGCTTCAGTGGCCGTCCTTCAAAAACGCAAATGGGTATTCGGTTCCGAATATTCCTCTTGGTGCCTGCCCTGGGTGTAGGTCTTGGGGCTGAGCTCATCAAGACAGAGATCTCAGCTCACCGCTCTGTCTCTGGGAGCGCTGCTCTGTGGAAGCTGGATTCCTCAAAGCAGCAGGCCAGCCGGTGAGGAAGACTGATCACCCAGCGTGGAGGACGCCCCCCTGGGCAGTGTGCTCTATGTCGCTGCTGTCATTTCTGCTCGCACAGGTCAAAGCTGTGGGGTAAAGAGATGCCTCTGTCATGGGGATCCCGAGGCTGCCTCCATTCACTCTTCATCTGCCCTGTCTCCCTCCTCGGCAGGTGCTCTCGTAAGCGCCCCCCTCAGGACACTTCTGTGGAAGCCACACTGCATTTGGCCACACGTGTGAGGGTTACTCAGGGATCAAAACTCATCAACGGGACAGCCGGGCACTGGCCGTGCCCAGTCACTGGGGCCCCGTGAGACCCGGCTTCTCCCTCTGCTCTCTGTGTGAGTGATACACTCTCCGTGTGAGTGATGCTCTCTCCTCCCCACCACAGGTGCCTCGATCCAGACAGTCTCCATCCTCACTTGGTTTTCTCTCATTTCAGATCAGCACAACCAGGAGCATTTTCTATTCCCATGGAATAGAGGCACAGACAAAATGGGAAACCTTTGTCCTACCAGCGCTGGGAAGGAAGAGAAAACCCAAAGCCAGCAAAGGCTCTTCGGCTGGCTCACTGAGATGGGACGTGGTGAAGGGGCATGGTCTCAACCAGTGCACAGTGGTCAACACAGCTCATAAAACAATGGCTCTGGGTGTAGTGTTTAAGTGGTGACTAAAGCCCAGAACAGTCAAGTGGGTTGGAAACTCTTCAAAAATTATCTACATCAGTAAACGTAGGCTGTTGCTCAGTCCATGAGGAGTGCTTGTGGAAGTAGGCTGAAGGTACCCCCAGCCCGCCCAGCCATCTGCAGACTCGTGGAAACACTGCCCTGAGTCATCCCCAGCAGGTGGAAGAGATGTATGTGGGGCTAGAAGTGCATGTTCCTTGGGCTGGGTATTTGACGCAAATGGTTAAGGTGCTGCTTGGGATGCCCACACCCCAAATTACTGCATGCAGTGCCCTGGCCAAGTCCCAGCTCTGCTCTCAAATCCAGCTTCCTGCTAATGTGCAGTGACGGCTCAAGTACATCGGTTCCTGCTCTTGTGTGCATTTAGGGAGTGAATCAGCAGATAGAAGATCTCCCCCCCCCCTTTCTCTTTCTCTCTCTCTGCATTCCAAATAAATAATGCAGAAATAAGGAAAAGTTAAACCAAGAATTTTGGTATCTGTCTCTTTTTGGTGGGTCTAAGTGCTGTGGTGTAAGCAACAGACAGACCCTGAATATCCAGGTTGAATGAGGTGAGATTCACTGGTGCCTGTCAGGTGTCCACAGATTGACAAGAAGCCTGGAGCTCCAGATGCCAAGCTTGCTCTGAAGTGGAATGCCACCACAGCTGGAACAGTCAAAATCAAGCACAGTTGCTCCCTTGGGGTTCCTCCAGAGACACAGTCCTGCAGGAGTGCCTCTGACTGGTTGAGCTCTCGTCCCAGGTATGCCCATGGCATTTACCTCATGGCACACCAGGGCGAGAGGGGAAAGGGTCTAGTCTCCCAGTTTCTGTAACAGGACATGGATGCGGAACGACCGAAACTACACATGAAGGGAGGCGTGAGCGCCCCGACAGCACTCGGGGCTGATGAGGAAGAGGGAACAGGTGCTAGGTGGGCAAGAAACGCCCAGTATTTCTTTTATTTCAAGTACAGGAAATCACTTGGAACCAACTAAATTGATCAGAGCTCTTCTCTAAATGAGGATACCCAGTTAATAGTAGCGAAATGACTTTTTCCCATGCGACCTGCATTTTGGGAATCCTAGCAAAGGTGATGTCTGAGTGTGAACTAAAGAGATGCTCTCTGCTCAATGTGCCTGCGCAGACTTGACCATTTCAGTGAAGCAAAGTGAGCGAGAATGTGGAGCGACTGAATCCAACTAGCTAAGGGGAACTGAGTAAATCCACTTTGTGGGAGGGGTCTTCACCATTGTTTCCTATTAAAACATCTAGCAGGTGATCAGCTCTTCAGGTACTGAGAGGGATGGACAAGGAGAATCACGACACAGATGGAACCTTTATATCTGTATCTAACTCTTTAGCATCCAGGTTAAGCACACATGCTGTTAGCCAATAGGATCAGAGAAGTAGCCCAGCACCCTGTACGTATTGTCAACTGAAGAGGGTTCTGCTGGCTTCTCCAGCATAGGCCATGCTATTAGCAGGCTGTTTACTTTGCTGTGGCCTCTCCTACCACTTCCGTTTCATTCATGGCTGAGAAGGATCTACTGTGAAAGTACTGGACTTGTTCCAAAGAAACAAAGGCAAAGGCTCATGCTGGACTGCTTTGTAAGTTTTACAGCTGCCCGTGGCCCTGAAGGATGTGGTCGGGCAAATACAGGGTGAAGTTCAGCAGGCAATCAGGGACCAGTGGACGTCCTTTCCCGCGATGTGAGAGCTCACAACTTTCACGGCAGCCTGGGAAGACTTGGCAGAAATGTAACCAACAGGAGCTGGAAGAACTGCGCTCAGAGGCACATAATGACTTCAGGGACTGCGATTGCCAAGGCACAGTGTGCTCACTGTCTTCAGGGGGAGGGGCCAGGTAGCGCTCCCTCTCCCGGGCATGCGTTCTGCTTACCTAAGCCAAGACACCTGTGTACAAGACACAGCCCGCCTCAAGGAGCTGCTCTTTCCCCACTGGTCTTTCTGAGAATCAACTCAGCTTTCCACTTGGCAGAGCAGCTCACAAGGCTTCAGCAGAAGGGAGATCCGTGCCTCTCTGTAGGATTCGACCTGGCTTTGTGGCCCCGTTAGGATTCCTGGTGGGTGAACCACAGATCACATTTCTCCAGGTCTCATTGCCTGTCATTTTGGTAAGAAAGCACTTGGCCAATATTTTATTGATTATTGAGAATTATGAATAATAATGCTTGTGTTTGTTGGAAAGCCCGCAGGGAAAGATAAGTAGAAACATATTTTTGTCATGGCAATGAAACAATTATCGTGTTAGTTTTTAGGGAATAACTCTAAAAGCATAAGGATTGCTTCTCTCTTTTTTTTAGGAAAGGCTTCTAAAATAAAGACTGTAATGTAGTGCTAAAGATGAATGATTTGTTGGAAAATTTAGGAATCCATTGGAGAGTACTATTAGCAACAAAGAACAAAATATAAGATGCCTTATGTTGACCCATTCCAATTCCCAGAAAATTTGGTCTCCAGGAAGGGGTATGGTGAATTGAAGCCAACTCAGCAGTGTTTCCCTCATTTTCCGTGCACTTCTTCATAAAATACAGTTACAAATTTTAATGCAAGCTTATAAAATACTCTAAGAATACTTAAAGTCTATGTGAATACAAACAGGACTGAACTGACAGTGACCAGACACTTGTTGCATGTGTAACACAGATTCTGTTTTAGAAAAATGGAGCAATGTGGAAGTACTATTTCACAGTCCCAGACAACTCAATCTCTTAATTATACATCTCTAGACATGACCAAAGATGGAATTTTGTAAAATTAAACATTAAAAAACAGTCAGTGAATGCCTGCGGTGACCTAATGTATTCCCCCGGGGGGTGGGTTCATGGGGAAAGTACTTTCATGTTTTTATTACTAATACATGACTCTCACCATTTCTCAGGTTGTAACATAAGGAAATAGAAATCATAGCATTGCAGCGTGGTGAAAAGGATCCCTGATGGCGGCAGGGAGGCCAACTAGAAGGCTGTGCAAGAAATGGTGCCCTGGAGATAGAAGTTGGATTGTGAAGATCCTTCGAAAGAAGAAGACTCAACAGGGTTTGCTGGTGGGTTGCATGTAGGGTGTATGAGGGAGGGGTCGAAGATGACCCTGAGATTTTTACACTGAGAAGACAGGAGAACAGATAAGCCATCCACAGTCATAAGGAGGGCTGTTGAGAAGAGCAGGCATTCTGGGAGAGAGCAAGAGTATGGTTTCGCGCTACCAAGTCTGAGATGCTTCATGACTTCCCAGTGTGATGCCAAGGAGCCAGTCAGACTAACTCTGGCAGCCACGGGAGAGGGCTATGGAAGCCGCAGGTCCTCATGTGGTGTTTGCAAGCTGGACAGGGAGGGGAGCCGAGAAGAGGATGGAGGAGAGAGAATCCAGTGCTTGCCAGCATTCAACGTGCAGGCGGAGGCACAGACGGCACAGGAGCACGTGGTGGAGTCCCAGGGAGGCAGGGAGGGAAGGAAGAGTGGGCCAAGGGAGGATGGAAGGCCAGGGAGGAACAGTGTTCAAGAAGAAGGGAAGGCATCACCCCCTCTGTCAACTGCTTTTGAAAAGTTGAGAGAGATGAGGACTGAGAAATCTGACAGTCGACTGCCCGGACTCCCCCAGGGTTCACGCTGAATGCCTGCTGTGCTGAGCACGTGCGTCCCCCCAGTTCAGTCCCCAGTGTGATTAGAAGGCGGCCCCTTGGGAAGTGACTGGGGCATGAGGGCTCTGCTCTTGTGAATGGGATCAGCGCCCTCATCAGGTGGACCCCAGAGAGCTGGTGAGCCCCATCCACCCTGTGCAGACACAGAGGAGGCGTCTTCCGGGAAGCAGAGAGCAGCCCCCATCAGGAGCCTCACTGCTGCTGCCTTGACCTGGGACTTGCAAGCTTGCAAGTAAAAGATCAATTTTTTACAAAGATTAATTTATTTATTTGGAAGGTACAGTTAGAGAGAGAGATCGAGAGATCTTCCATCCACTGGTTCACTCCCCAGATGGCCACAACAGCTGAAGCCAGGAGCCAGGAGCTTCTTCTGAGTCTCCTACCAGGGTGCAGGGGCCCAGGCACTTAGGCCATCCTCCACTGCTTTCCGGAGCTGGTTTAGAAGTGGAGCAGCCGAGACTTGAACAGGTGCCTATATGGGACGTCACCCGTTAAGCCACAGCGCCGGCCCCCACACTCTTTGTTGACTGTCCCCCCTCCCCTGTCCCACTTCCTGGCTCCTCTACTGATGTTTCATAGGATCATCTCCCAAAAAACTACTTGTCTTAATCTGTTTTATGTGGATTTAACAAAATGCCCAAGACTGTGTCATTTGTGAAGAAAAGATAGGAATCTCCTACTTCTGGTGGCAGGGAAGTTCAAGATCAAGTGGCTGCACTTGGTAACAACCTCATAAGATGGCAGATGGGATCACATGGTGGGAGTGTGGGGGTTGTGCATGTGTGGGAAAGAACAGGGGAGGAATAGGAAAGGCATGTTGTAACAACCTGCTCTCCTGAGAACCAACTCATTCCTGTGTACAGAGAAATACATTCATTCTCTTAAAGGGTCTCCAACACGGTTGGTAGGGGCTGTTGTCCACTGCTTTCCCAGGTGCATTAGCAGGAATATGGTTAGGAAGTGGAGCAGCTGGGACTTGAACCTTCGTCTGTATGGGATGCCTGTGTTGCACACAGCAACTTCACCTGCTGCATCACAACACCAACCCCTTATGCCAGCAAGTTTACAACTGAGTATCAAGCCCATGATGTTTCAGTTTTATTCTCTCGTTTGCTTGTTCCACAGACTTTCCAGAGGCAGGCAATTTATCGTGTGAAAGAGACTTGCTTTCTTTATGAGTTTATAGGGTTGCTGATTCGTATTTGTGAAGGTGAGAAACCTTTTATCAGCATCACAGTGAAAAATAGAACGTCTTGGGGTTTTCCAATAATTTCTCAAAAACTTGTGAGCTTATCACCACGATCCTGAATATAATACTATTGGAATTGCACTGGGGCTTTGTGCCTGGTTCTTCATGGTTCTCTGTGGACGGCCCTGGAGGTGCCTACTGAGAGGGGAGCAGGAGGCCTCGCTCTGTGTCCACCTCTCCGAGTCCCTCCCTCCCTGATTCATGGCAGCACACGTCTCCTGCTGTGTGAGAGCTGTGCTGCCTGCTGCTTTACCACTGCTGCTGGGCAGGCCTGAAGCCGAGTGCTCCCTGTTCTGCCTGTGCAGCTCCCCTGTGAACCACAGAATGCCCTCTCCTGGCTCCTCAGGGGACCCGGTATTTCGAGGCTGGTGTATTGACTTGGCACACAGGAGGCATGTGTTGAGTATTCGTTGCCTGAAGACCATTGGATCCTTTATTTGTTGAGCAGCTCAACAATGGGCGACCATTGTTCTAGATACCGAAGTAACAGTGGTGAAATAAGAGGAACGGAAATCTCTGCCTTGGGGGGTCTGAAATGCTGGAGAAGGAAAAGCAGTGGTTCTCATGCATGTGCCCGTAGTTCCTGGGTAGGTGGCAAAGACTTAACTCCAAGAAGCAAGATTTAGCAGCTGGATGCTGAGAGCCTATCTCGTGCCCATTGTTGTAAACACTCTATCTAATGCCCTCATGAACATACAGTAGGAAACACTGATCCCAGTCTTAGAAATATGCAAAGGGAGGCTCAGAATGGTGAGTGAATTTCCCAAGACAGTGGTGTTAGGTTGGCAGAGCAGGCATTTGAGTCTGGGGCTCTGTGACACCAGGGCCCCTGTTCCTAACCTTCCTGGCACGTTGCTCTCATTTTCTGTTGACTACTAGCAGGCACATGTATCTGGGAGAATAGGGCATCGATGAAATCTGGAATCTTCTAACTTGGTCATGGACCAGCATGACAGCAGATGGCTCACTTGAAACCAGGCTTTTACTCTAATTGGTTGAGAGCCCTAAGAACTCCAGCTCCTCTAATGAATTTCTGTTTGGCTGCAGATGCAAATCTGAAGGCAAGGCCAGGATCCTAGGTTCCGGAGTTAACACCTTTACAAAGTACAAGTTTTCACCATGAAAATAAGGAGAAGAATGAAGAAACTTGGCAATCCACCCGCATCACCTGAAAATCAGTGGCAAACCCAATGCCCACCAGCAGATGAAAAGGCAAACAGAAGGTGCTCCATCTATGCAGTGAAATACTATTCAGCCTTAAAGAGGGAGGAAATCCTGCTGCATAACGTGGGAACCTTGAGGACATCAGGTTGAGTGAGATCCGCCTGTCACAAAAGACAAACACTGCATGATTCCATGGATCTGAGGCATGTGAAATAATCAAATTCGTAATGTAGAGTGGGGGGGTGCTGGGGGCTGGGAGATGTGGAGGAGTTGTTGCTTACTGCATACAGAGTTTCAGTTTTACCAGACGAGAAAGTTCTGGAGATTGGTTGAACAACCATGTGATCATACTTAACATGACTAAACTGTACACCTAAAAAAGGTGCAGATGTATGTTTTATATGTCTGGACTTTTAAAAAGAGTTTACTTATTTATTTGAGAGTTAGAGTTACAGACAGTGAGGGAGAGACAGAGAGAAAGGTCTTCCACCCATTGGCTCACTCCCCAAATGGCCTCAATGGCCAGCACTGAGCTGATCGAAAACTAGGACACAGGAGCTTCTTCCAGGTCTCCCATGTGGGTGCAGGGACCCAAGCGCTTGGGCTGTCTTCTACTGCTTTCCCAGGCCATAACAGAGAGCTGGATTGGAAGAGGAGCAGGCGGGACTAGAACCAGCACCCACATACGATGCCAGTGCTGCAGGCTGAGGATTAACCTACTGCACCACAGCGCGGGCCCCAAGAGTAGTTCTTTACAGCAAAGTAGACGGGAAGGTGGAGCTTTCCCCTGTCTGCCTTCCCCCACACGCCCATAGCCTCCTCCACTAGCAACATCCATACAGTGACACACTTGCTGCAACTGACACATTTTCTACCCCAAGTCCATGGTTCACATTAGGGCTCACTCCAGGGAGCTGGAAAACGTGTGGTGACCTTTATCCTCTATTATAGTATCATACAGGATAGCTTCACGGTCCTGAAAATCCTCCGCCCTCCACCTATTCATTTCCCAGCTCCCAACCTCTGGCAACTACCTGCCTTTTTCTGTCTGTAAAATGTTGCCCTTTTCAGAGTGCTGCCTGTTTGGAATCATGCAGTGGGTAGCCCTTTTAGATTGGCTTCTCTCAGGAGTATGAGGCCGAGCTTCCTCCTCGCCTTTTTGTGACGTCATAGTTCATTTTTCGGCATTGCATAATAGTCCATTGTCCAGAGTCATGTTCCATTTATCTGCTCACTTCCTGAAGGACATCTTCTTGATTGCTCCCAAGCTTTCACTATTGCCAATAAAACTGCCATAAACATCTGTGTGCAGGTTTTCGGGTGGACATAAGTTTCCCAGTTCTTCAGATCCAATGCCAACGAGCAGAACTGCTGGAGTACATGATAAAACAATGGTTCATGAAACCAGCAAACACTATTCCAAAGTGGCTGCACTGCTTTGTATTCTCACCAGCGAAGACTATGAATTACTATCGCTCCACCAGCATCTCATGTTGTTTCACGTGTTTTTTACCATAATAATAACAATAATAATAGTAGAAAGGGGCTGCGCTGTGGCACAGTGGGTTAAAGCCCTGGCCTGAAGCGTCAGCATCCCATATGGGTGCCGGTTCTAGTCCTGGCTGCTCTTCTTCTGATCCAGCTCTCTGCTATGGCCTGGGAAAGCAGTGGAAAATGGCCCAAGTCCTTGGCTCCTGCACCTGTGTGGGAGACCGGAAGAAGCTCCTGGCTCCTGGCTTTGGATCAGCGCAGCTCCGGCCATTGAGGTCATCTGGGGAGTGAAGCAGCAGATAGAAGACCTCCCTCCCCTATTTAAAAAAAAAATAGTTAAAAAAAATGAGTAGCAGCTCCCTCACAATCCTGCCTCAAAAGATACCAGAAACCCAGACAGCATGATCTTGGAATCTTTGAAAAGCCCATTTCTATGTAAATATCAGTGCAGGAGAATTAGTTTTACAAGGGAGACTTGGGAAAGAGAGTCTGACTTATATTTAAAGACACAGAAGAGGAAATTGTCCAGCCAAGGAGAGCTGTGCGCCACGGGCTGTCTGGATGCGCACTGTGCATGTGAGCGGTAATTACTTCCACACAGACCTTGGGCTACACGCAGCCTCCGGCTCCAGTCTTAGGCTTCAGTGAAGGGTGGGCCGCCTGTAGGTACCTGGGAGGCTGCTCTACCCAGGAAGCAGAGCACAAAAACTGCTCCCTCTTAGGAACGCCCCAGAAGCTGCCAGCTGGGAGGCACCCATGACACGGTGCACCTGACCTGCCTGTCTCCTGACGGCAAGCCTTCGCATCCTGGTTCTCTTTCGTGCTCAAGAACATGTTTTCCAGGTGCCCAGGAAAGGCTGCAGCCCTGTGGCTAAGGGCAAGGCACGCCAGCACCGGGACTGCCAATGGGCTGTGTGACTGCCCGAGGATCTGCAATGTGGTCCTCTATGGTGGGTTGGGGAGAAGGAATGGGGAGACACATACCCTGTCTTCAACCACCTCCAAGGCAGCTGGGTCCCGGTGCCCACAAACAAGAGGACTTTAGGAAAAGGGACACTTGCAAATACTGCGTTTCCCACCAGAAGTTAAAACAAGGCACGAAGCAGCAGGGGTTTGCTGCGTTCGGTTGAGTTGGAGCAGCTGTGCTGAGCGGCGTCTCTTGCCCCCATGGAGTGGAAAGCAGTGTTCTGCCCCGGGTGGGCGCTGCTTCCATCCAAACCAAACTTCCCCTCAATGACTTCATTGAAAGCTGGTTTACATCATGAAGAGAGACTCCATTTATTTATTTGTAATAACTTCAGGATTTTATGGACCCACAAGAGGATGTAATTTAAGAAAACATTAGCAAGCTATTCCAAACACCAAGGTTTTGAAACTGGCTTGCCCAAATCATCATCAATGGAAATATTTCACTATTACAGATGAAAAGCTGTAGCAAAACTGCTTTTGAATGAGGCTTTGGAGGAGGAGAAGTTTTAAAATGTGTATTTTTGGGCACAACATCCCGGGGTCCCAGGAAGAGACAACTGGACTTCCAGGAACTCTGTATCACCAACATATGACCTAATAGGATCGGGTCCATCCAGTGCCTCCCTGGTGGGGCATTAGCCCTATAAATATCTTAGAAAAGATGGGCTGGTACACCCTCTGAAGCCTTGTTGTGCGCACAGTGTTGGAGGGAATTACACGGTGTCTGCATTAGGGTTTTTGAGACAAAATAATCAAGAGGTTACTGGGAGAGGGGATGAGCTAAGAATGGTCCCTCACTGCAGAAATATGTTTTTCAAGTTCCCCTTCTATTAGCAATCATATGTTAGTGATGTTTTTAATCTCTGTCCACAGGCAACATCGTCACTCTCCAGACATCTTTTGGAACTGTGTGTAGCCTTCCCCTCCATTGGTGGCACGTGGGATCCAGTGGAGGGAGACACAGCTACCTTACCCAATAGGTGCTCATCTTACAGGCCCAGGAAACATGTGTTGAAAAGGACAGCTGTGCACACAGGGTCACCTGCTCATCTCACTGTCATTACGCACATAGACCTGCATTATACTTGCAAATACATATGTGTTTAGGTATTTGTCTCCTACTCCACTCCCCTGGACTCACCTCCTTGAGAACACAATCAAATCGTGTTTATGCAGATAGCTCTAGGCCTGCACGGGTGCTCAGTCACTGAATGAGTTTACAGAGCATCTACTGTGCCGAATGAATGCCGTGTTAAGCACGGAGGGCCCGAGGGAGAGGATAGAATCTACAGATACAGAGAGAGGCAGAGCAGAGAAAGAGATCTTCCATTTGCTGGTTCATTCCTCAAATGCTGGAAACAGCCAGATGTCTCCATGGCCAGGCTCTACCAGCCTGAGGCCAGGAACCAGGAACTCAATTGGAATCTCCCTCCTGGGCGGCAGGGACCCACCTACTTGGACCATCACCTGCTGCCTTGCAGGATGAGCATTCGCAGGAAGCTGATGTTATGAACATTTTTCTATGGATTTTTGTGTGAAAATATATTTTCAATTCTCTTGCATATATATTGAGGAGTAGGAATTGTTGGTCATATGGTAACTCTGTATTTAACATTTTGAGGAACTACAAAAATGTTTTCCAGTTTAAGTTCCTATCAGTGATGTGTGGAGGTTGTAACTTCTCTACATCCTAACAGTTTTCTGCCTATTTTAAAATTTTTAAAACTGTATTTGAAAGGGAAAAAGATAGAGAAATATTCTTTTTGCTTTTTTTAAAAAAAATTTTTATTTATTTGAAAAGCAGAGAGAGAAAGAGAGAAAGAGAGAGAGAGAGAATCTTTTAGCCACTGGTTCATTCTCCAAATGGCCATAACAGCCAGAGCTGGGCCAGGCCAAAGCCAGAAGCCAGGAACTTCATATATGTCTCCCACATGGATGCAAGAGCCCAAGCACTTGGGCCATCTTCCAGTGCTTTCCCAGGCACATTAGCAGTAAGCTGTATTGGAAGTAGAGCAGCTGGGACTCTAACTGGCACCCATATGGGCTGCCAGCACTGCAGCCGGCGGCTTAACCCATGACGCCACAATGCCAGCCCCAAAGACAGAAACATTACATTGCTGGTTCATTCTCCCCAGACGCCTACAATAGTGCACTGGGCCAGGCCAAAGACAAGAGTCCAGAACCTGATATGGGTCTTCTCCATCTGGAAGGCACTGACCCAAGCCATCATTGCTGCTTCTCAGGGTGCGTATAAGCAAGAAGACAGAAGTACAACTGGGCTCAGGACTGAAACCAGGCACTAGACTGCAAAATATGCCTGCATCTCTGTGTTTCCTTTCTTCCTTTCCTCCATTTCCTCCTTCCTTCCTTCCTCCCTCTTTCTTTTTTTTTCTCTTTCTTTCTTTTCCTTTCCTTCCTTCCTTCCATTTTATTATTACAGCCATCCTCGTGGATATGAAGTGATATTTCGTTGTGGCTTGATTTGCATTTCTCTGATGCCTAGTGATGTCAGACATCTTTCCATGTATTTACTGGTCATTTACTGGTCTTTGAAGAAACATCTATTCAAATCTTGTGCCCATTTGTAATTTTTTCTTATGGAGTTGTGAGAGTTCTTTCTATAGTCTAGAAATAGAGCCCCAGATTATTTCATCCCACTCTGTGGATTGTCTTTTCACTTCCTGGACAGTGCTCTTTGAGTCACACACATTGGGAGCCAGACCCAGGGTGCACGCCAAGCACTCCGATGTGTGATGCGGATGTACCAGGAGGGTCTCACCCACTATGCCTAATGCTCACCCCAACTCCCATGCTTTCTTCTAATAGTTTTATAGTTTTCATTCATATATTCACACTCTGATCTATTTTGAGTTAATTGTGTAATGTTTTGAAACAAGGGATGTGGATATCCAGTTGCCCCCACCTCATGTGATAAGGAATTTTCACTCCCCCACTGAGTGGTTTCAGCACTTTCGTCAACCATCAGTTGACCTTAAGTGTATGGGTTTACTTCTTTATTTTGTTTCTCTGCACATTTACCCTTATCTATTACAGTTCTTGGTTTCATTACAGTAGCTTTGTGTATGTTTTTAAACCAGAAAATTTGAGTTCCCCCATCTTTGTTCTTTTAGAAATTATTTTGGCTGTTCTGGGTCCCTAGGCATTTTCATATGAATTTTAGGATCAGTCTGTCCATTTCTACCAAAGGAGGGGCAGACCTAATTTTTATAGGGATTGCACTGAATCTGTGGATCAGCCTGGGGACTGTCACTGTCTTAGCATTAAGTCTTTCCTTTCAAGAACAAAGGGTGTCTTTCCTCTTATTCAGGTTTTCTTTAAGTTCTTTCAACTATGTTCTATAGATTCCAAATGCCTTGCTCTTCTTTTGGTAAATGTATATCTGAACATTTTGTTCTTTTTTGATGCTATTATAAATGGAATGATTTTCTTGATTTCACTTTTGGATTATTCATCACAACTGATTTTTGTACATTTATCTTGTGTCCTGCAATCTTGGTGAATTCACTATTACCTCTAGAATTTTCCTTGTGGATTTCTTAAGATTTTCTATACATAGGACGAGATCATGTTAAATGTGAAAATAGACAACTGTACTCCTTCTTTTCCAAATTGCATGCCTTTTATTTATTTTTCTTGCCTAATTTCCCTGACTAAAACTTCTAGTATGTGTTGAATAATAGTGGCAAGCACAGACATCCTTGTCCTAAAGGAAAAGCATTCAAACTTTGACAGTGAGTTTCACTGTAGGCTTTTCATATATGGCATTTATTAGGTTCAAGAAGCTCCCTTTCACTCCTACTTTATTGAATGTTTTTAATCATGAAATCATATTGAGTGCTGTCAAATGCTATTGCTGCATACATTGAGATGATCTTACAATATTTTCCTTTATTCTGTTACTATGCTGCATTGTACTGATTTTTTAAATCTTGGCTCACTTTTCATTACTAGAATAAAGCTCACTCAGTCATGCTGCACAGTCTTTTTTATATGTTGCCAGATTCAGTTTGCTGATTTTGTGTGTTTGTGAGAATTGTTACATCCATATTTATGAGGGATATTGGTGCCTTATATGTTTTCTTGTGATGTTTTTGCTTTTGGTGTTAGTGTAATGCTGTCTTCATTAAATGAGTTGGAGAGATTTCCCTTTTCTGTTTTCCAAAAGATATTGTGAAAGTTTGGTGTTATTTTGTCTTTGAACATTTGATAGACTTTACCCTTGAAGCCCTCTGAGCCTAGGCATCCCTTTGTGGAAAGCTCCTTGATTCTTGGCTCAATCTCTTTACCTTTTACAAGTCTATTTCTTCCTGACTCACTTTAAATAGCTTTGTCTTCCCAACAATTTGTTTTTGATACAAGTTATTCAATTTTTGGCATAAAATGTTCATAGTATTCTCTTATAACCTTTTTTATTTCTGTAAAACTGAGAGTGATGGCCCCTCTTCAATTCTTAATTTTATTAATTTGAGTCTTTTATCTTTTTTCTTGGTTTCCAGCTAATGAATTGTCAATTTCATTGGTATTTTCAAAGAATCGGCTTCCAGTTTCATTAATTTATTTTATTTTTCCTCTTTCTTGCTTCTATTTCATTTATTTCTACTCTAGTATTATATTTTCTTCATTCTTTTCAGTTAGGTTTAGTATGTACTTGCTTTCCTAGTTTCTTATGGAGTAAGTTTAGGTTACTGGTTTGAAATTATTTTTCTTTATAGAGTCATTTACAGATACAAATTTCCCTCTAATCATTGCCTTAGCTACATCCCATGTTTTGTTACATAAGTTATCATTTTTGTTCACCTCAAAGTATTTTCTGATTCCCTTTTGATTTTTTGACCCAATGGTTATTTAGAAATATGATGTTTAGTTTCCAGATATTTATGAATTCCCAAATTTCTAATTATAGTTCATTATGGTTAGAGAGCATATTTTGTATGATTTCAATCCTTTTACATTTACTGAAGTTTATTTTTATGGGTTTGTGTATGATATAGAGAATGAACTATGTGCATTTGAGAAAAATACATGTTCTGCTGTCTTTGGATGGCATAATCTATAAATGTCTGTTATGTCCAGTTGTTTTATAGTGTTACTCAAGTCTTCTTGTCTTTGAATCTTGTGTCCAGTTCTACATGTTAGTGAAAATGACACTGAAATAGCTAGCTATTACTCTTCAATTGTCTATTTCCCCATTCAAGTCTGTGAGCTTTTGGTTCATGTACTTTGAGGCTCAGTTGTTAGATTCATATGTTTATGTACTTGCTATATTTTCTTGTTGGGTTGACCTTTAATCATTTAGAAATACTAATCTTTGTTTCTAGTAACAATTTTTGCCATAAAGTGTATTTTGTCTGATATTATCATAACCACTCCAGTTCTCGTGTGGTACTGTTTGCATGTTATCTATGTCCATCTGTCTGCTTTCACTCTATTTGCATTTTTGAGTCTAATGTGTTTTTATGGGGAAGCTGTAGTTGGATTCTGATTTAGTGTTTGTTTTTCTAAATCACTGTATCAATTTCTGCCTTCTTATCGCAGTGGTTCATTCATTTACATTTAATGTAATTATTTTTTTAAAAGATTTATTTTACTTATTTGAAAGAATTACAGAGACAGGTAGAGATAGAGAGAGGTCTTCCATCTGCTGGTTCACTCCCCAAATGGCCACAATGGCCAGAGCTGAGCTGAGCTGAAGCCAGGAACCAGGAACTTTTTCCAGGTCTCCCAGGTGTGTGCAGGGACCCAAGGACTTGGGCCATCCTCTGCTGCTTTCCCAGGTATATTAACAGGGAGCTGGATCAGAAGTAGTAGAGCAGCTGGGACTCAAACCAGTCCCTATATGGGATGCTGGTGCTGCAGGCCAGGGCTTTAACCTGCTGTGCCATGGTGCCGGGCCCCTATTTAATGTAATCATTGATAAGCTAGGATTTATGTTTATCATTTGCTACTTTTTACCTCTGTGTGTTTTTCTTTTTTGTTCCTTTATGTCTCCCTTATTGTCTTTTGTATTAAGTAGGTTTTTTTAGTATAAAATTTTAATGCTGTGTTGTTTTATTTATTTACTTGAGAGACAGAGACAGAGATAGAGAATGCTCCTATACACTGGTTCACACCCCAGATGCCTGCAACAGCTGGGGCTGAACCAGGGTTGAAATTGGGAACTGGAAATTCAAATCAAGTGTCCCACTTAGGAGATGGGAATCCAATTACTTGAAATGTTACTGCTGCCTCCAAGGGTCTCCATTGGCAGGAAGCTACAGTATAGAGTCAAAGCTGGAAATCAAGAAAACTAATTTTCTGTTGTTTTTCCCACTGGATAATCTCAATTGATATGTCTTTGAGTCTGCTATTGAATTCTCTGATGGTAATTTTGGAAGTCAAATCTACTGGATTAGGGGATATCCAACCCAGCTGGGAAAATATTATTTCTATGTCTGTGAGGGTGTTTCCAGAAGAGATTGGCATTTGAATGAATGGAATGAGTAACTAGTAGAAGACTTGCCCTTACCCAGTTTGAGAAAACATCATCCAATCAGCTTCATGCTTGCTCTCTCTTCTAGAACTGGGGCATCCACATTCTCTTATCCTTAGACATCAAAACTCCAAGTTCACTGGCCTTCCAACTCCAGGTGTTTGACACCTGAAATTAACTGACAGGGTCAGCATTCTCTATAATCACTGAACCAATTCCCCTAATATATCCATCTCTCCCTCTCCTTCTCTACACACACACACACACACACACACACACACACACTTAGTTCTCTAACCGTGATTTCCTTTAGTTATATGGATCTAGTAATTATACTGCCTTAATAATTCTCTCCAGCAAATCCAATTTCTGATTTTCCTTTGGAAAAGCCTTTTTTGGCTGCTTTTTCTCCTTCTTACTTATTGGGTTATACTTTCAGAATTTCTTTGGGTGCCTCATCAGCTTCTGTTGAAAGTTACATATGAACTTCCACTTTGACCATGGCCTTGTCTAAATATGATCAGAGTCAGTGAACTCAGGGGGCTTCCATAGCCTTGGAAGCTCATGACAAGAGCCTAGGGTGATTACTGATGCCATAAACAAGAGTGCCAATTTGTTAAGTCAACAACAGGAGTCACTGTGCACTTACTCCTCATGTAGGATCTTTGTCCTTAGTGTGCTGTACATTGAGATTTAATGCTATAACTAGTACTCAAACAGTATTTTTCACTTTATGTTTCTGTGTGGGAGCAAACTGTTGAAATCTTTACTTAATGTATGCTAAACTGATCTTCTGTATATAAAGAGAATCTAAAATGAATCTTGATGTGAATGGAAGGGGAGAGGGAGTGGATAAGGGGAGGGTTGCTGGTTGGAGGGACGTTATGGGGGGGAAGCCATTGTAATCCATATTCTGTACTTTGGAAATTTATATTCATTAAATAAAAGTTTAAAAAAAAATAAAATGTCATTTGACCCGTAAAAAAAATTATCAACTCTGCTTCTTTTCCTTTTTTTAAGATTTATTTATTTATTTGAAAGTCAGAGCCACAGTGAGAGAGGAAGAGACAGAGAGAAGAGAGAGATCTTCCATCCACTGGTCAATCCCCAAATGGCCACAATGGATGGGGCTGGGCCAGGCCAAAACCAGGAGCCAGGAGCCTCATCCAGGTCGCCCATGTGGGTGCAGGGGCACATGCATTTAGACTATATTCCACTGCTTTTTTCAGGCACACTAGCAGGGAGCTGCATCAGAAGTGGAGCAGCTGGGACTTGAACTGGCGGGAGACAGCATGGGATGCTGGTTGCTGCAGACAGTGGATTAACCCACTGCGCCACAATGCCAGGCCCAAAATGTATCAGCTCCTGAAATCAGATCCTTTTCTCTCCTCGTGAATCTGTTATAATTTTCATTGCTTTGTTTGTTTGTTTAAGGACTTTCCTGGACTAGTTTTGTAAAATATGTAATTTTTGTCATAGCTGCCATAGAAGTCTCTGGTTTGCTTAGTGGTGTAATTACAGGGCAGAGAGTCCATTAAATGCCTTCACCTGTGAGTCTCCCAGCCTTTTCCGAGAGGCTCTCTGTGTGTTGGAGCTTGTCCTCAACGTTCCGGAAAGTAGACTACAACTCTACCTTAGCCTTTATTTCCTGCTGGCG